TTCCTCAGCGAAGCCAGCCGCTTGCCCGGCTGCCCGGCGTACGAGGGCCAGCTAGGGACAATCCCAGCCAAGTGCGCATCTCCGTACGGGTGCTGGGCGGGGACAGGTTTTCCCGTTGCCATGGCGGCGCCCCCCTCCGTGGTTGCGGCCTGCCGCGCCGGGCGCCACGTCCACGCGTGGCCCCAGCTCCCCCTCCCCTCCCCTCCTATTTCTGTCGCGGAGCAGGAACATTTCCCCAAACCCCATTCCTGAGCCTCAGGTCTCATCCCTCCGCGTCACCCCAGCATCCGTGGGGCTGCGTTTGTGCCACCAGCGTCTGAAGAGGAGCCGTCAGTGTCATAGAGAGGACAGGCCCCAGGAGGGGGGTTGCTGCTGTGGCAACTGCTGAAATTTCCCGTATAAATATTGATGAGCACAGAGGGGAGAGGAAATGAGAAGCCAGCCGGCCAAGATGTCGTGTCCCCTTGCCCGCCTTTGCTACCTAGCATCATTTCTTCCTTAAATTCAGGCCCTGTAAATGAAGAGGTCACTTGCCATCCATCAGCAGCGTCTCCAGAGCAGGAGATGGAAAGGAGAGGGTTAATGCCAGCTACACTCCCATATCCTGCAGTTATCACTGCTGACATTGGCCTTCGGGTGGGAGGGAGAGGAATTCCTTCAGAAACAGCCTCTTCAGCAGAGGCCACAGTATCAAAGAAGTAACAAACACTTTGAAAACAACCTGTAAAGTCGGCAAGACATGGGATAAAACTCAACCACAAATAACCTTGCCCATGCTTGCTCTCAAGGACTTTGGAAAAGAGCCTGCTCTCAGGTTCAAAGCAGGGAGAACTCCCACCCACGTATTTCCGACATGTTTTCCTCTTGCACAAATAGTTTGACAAAGAAAATTGTTGCCTGTGTACCAGCAAGCTGTTGGTCTGATGGTTTTTTTCATATCAAGAAACTCCTTTCCTCACTAAATTCCTTCATGTTAACTAGGAAGAGGTAATTTTCAGGCATTAAATGTAGATTGACTCATGATCTGGCAGTAAAGCCTGCTTCATCGCTTAATAATTATGTCTTCATTCATGTGAAAATGATTAGAAGATAAATGATATTTTAAAAGTCAAACAGCACAGTGTTTCCAATTATACTGTAATGGGAAATCGTGACCATATAATGAGATATTTGGTTTCTCAAACTCAGAAGAACTACACAACATAAAGAAAACCTAATCTTTTAAGAGATCATTCCCTGAATTTGGGTCAGAAAACTTTGCCTTCCTTTGTCAGCAGTGATATAAACCAGGAAAATCCTTCATGATACTAAAGCATTTAACGGGATTTCATAGGAGAGAGAAGTGCACCAGAAGACATTCAATTAAAATTAGGAATTCTTACTGATTTACTGTACCAAGCTGCCAAGAGAATGTCAAAACAGTTCACAATACTTGGTAAATTCACAGAGCTTTCTCAAGTACATAGTTTACTGCAGAAATGTGGTGTTAGGAGAACAGGCTCCGCGTTGGACATAATCATCCTTGTAAACAGGTCAACCATGTTTTTCTGGTGTTTTTAGCAGTGTCAAAAGGCAAAGTGATGCTTCTGTTTCCAGGCTGGAGTTACCTCCTGTTTCCCCAGGATGAGCTCAGCGGGGTCAGCTGGAACCGCCTTGGATTTGTTTCAAAAAGCCCATTTGAAGCAGGGTGAAGAATCCCTTTCAAGGACATGAGAATTGCAGCTCACCTCTAATCTGAGCACTAATGCATTGGCTTCGACTCTTCATTTTCTCACTGCAGGACTGGCAGCTCCTCTGCCCAGAGGGTTGGGCAGCTCCATCCTTGAAGGTTTTCGAGACCCGATGGGATAAAGTCCTGAGTCGCTTGGTCTGATCTCACAGCTGACCCTGCTTGAGCACAAGGTTGGCTAGAGACCTTCTTAGGGCCCTGCTGACCAAACTACTCCGTGACTCTCTTATTTCATCCATTTTACATCTGCTGCTTTATCGGTCTTTGGTTTTCTTTAGATATCAAATTGATGAATGACTAAGGTTAGAAAGTTTATTTTTTACAAAGCATGTTGAGGGGAAAAAAAAAAAAAGCAACTTTGTATGACTGAGACATATGGCCCAGCCAGAACGAGGTAAAAATCTCTTCATGAGATGAAAGTAACTCTTCAAGGAAAACTGATAGAAAAGGAGAGAAATTATGAGTCTTTAGAAACATATATCAAGGACATCATATGCATCTGCAAAACACCCTGGAATAGCAAAATAACTAATGAAATACATTTGTAACACTACACTCTCCTGCAAAATGGCCGGGATGACTTCTGGACATAGCCAGCACTGGCTGCAAGCTTATATATCATAGAGCCTAAGCTGTTCCTTCATGTCCCCTTCAGACATCTCTCCAAATGTGTCACTTTTTTCCTTCATGAGCCTGAAGATGGCAGCCAGCTGCTCTCTCTGAACCCTGTCAAGAAGAAAAGGAGAGTAGGAATAGCCAGTCCCCACGAGCACTGGGAGCAAGAACACTGTGGTCAAATGAAACCCGCAGCCAAACAGCGTCATTTTACAAGCCCTGTCGACTGCAGGAAATCTGCTCATGTGAGAGGAGAAAAAGGGAACCTCAGGTTCTACATCTACCCCCTTCTATCTATCCAATCATCCTGTGCATGTCTCCACATTTCTTCTAATATGGAGATAAACTGACTGCTTTAACACTAGCTTTACAGTTCCATAGGGCTTGTCTGTGCTCGGGGTTTCAGGATAACTCCACATGTGGAATTTTTTAAGACCAACACGTCCAAATTTAGCAGACTCTATAGCACAACTATATTAAGGCGGATCAGCACAGTATATTTTCATTCTGGAATAAGACTGTATGGATGCAGAGTGATTCAGGAACAGCTTTTGAATTTTAAAAGTATACCCTACCTGAAAACTAGAGGCTAGACTTCCTTCCAGTATAGATGTGCCTTTAAATCAGCCACTGGAAGATAAAATCATGTAGAGAAAACTGCTTTGATTCAAGGATTCATCTCCCAATGTCAAATTTTGACAGCCAGACAAGCAATGGGGTGATTGATGTGTGGGCCACTTTGTCCAATGGACCTTCTAATTCAGATTTTTAGCCTTTACCTGGTGATTAACCTTTCTTTTCTCCCCATAATATATGCCCAACCAATGCATTTCTTTTCCTGAACATGAAGCAGTTAATCATTGTTGTATGTATGCCCTGCAGCACAAAGTACCTGTCACAAAGCTTTATTGGAGAGGTTATATCATTCATAGGTCAACTGATCACCGCGCAGGGACGCAGAAGGGTGGGCAGCACAGGAATGTCCTTCATTCTGAAGCACCGACTCGTCCTTAGCTCATGAAACGATGCAGCTATTTTGAGGTTAAGTGAAGGTGCACTTTGGTTTCAGTCAGGGCCGGAAGGTTTTCACTACAGGGCACCCATATGATTGAGAACATATTGCAGCAGTTCCTACCACACTTCATAATCAACTGTCCTGTGTGAGATGAAAAGAATTAACGAGGTTGTGGTGCTCTTTGGCTATAATAAGGGAGGGAGAGTTTCTGTTACTTCAACGGCTCTCTTTTTGAGGGTTCAGCAACCCAAAACACAGACCTGAGGCAGTCCTGGCTCCTGATTCTTTAGCATCTCTGGCCTTGGGATGATTCTTCCCTGGGCTGAAAATTCAGGCTCTGGCTTTTACTTCTGCATTTAGCTAAGAATCCCTCTCCCCATCACAGCCAACTTCCTGCATAGGGCTTTAATACACTGTAATTAATCCATTTAAAAGCACATCAAGAGTTAACTTAGAGCAGCATCCCTGTGAGTTCTACGTGGACAAGCTATTAGCTGTTGAAGTAACAGGGAACAGTAGAAATACCCTTAGATCAGCAAAACCAGAGCCTAATCTTTGTTTGAAAGAAGGGAGCGCTGCATCAATACATCAGAATGAACCGCACCAAGAAAATCAGGGAAGGAGAGAGTCCGGAATGAGCGGAGGAGCCTTCATGTGCTGAGCTCCAGACAAGAGGGGCTTTGCATTTTCCCCTCTCCTGGGCTCAGCCCTAGCAGGAACGATTTGTATTTTCAGCCCCATCGCAGCAAGTAAGCAGCTGTGGGGGAAAGCAAGCAAATTCCGATGGAAGAAAGCTGATTGCCAATTATTTTTTATTACAGTTAAATGCAGTTGTCATAAGGCCAAGCATATACTGCAAAAACCCTGCAGATCCTGTGAAAGCTCTGGCCACAGGCTGTCAGCTGCCTGGATTTCTCTCTTCTATGCTTCTTATTTTCACACATCAGCCTGCCCTTTCCAAACCAGAGGAAGGGAAGCACAGTCATTATCAATCAATATTTTATTTTGAACCGTCACTGGGCACCAGAGGGCACATTTCTTGTCTGGTGTGGAGAAATTCAATACACATCTTTGCTTCACACATCTGAAATCCTTCCCAGCTGGGAATGCTCCACACGGCTCCGCATCCCTCCCTCGTTATTTCACAGACATTGGCACTTCAGAAATCTCCAGTGCTTCCTTCACACCCCACCTCCAAAATCAAGATCACAGGCAGTATTGACTCTGATTTTCCTTCAAGCCAACATCAGTGCAATTTGGCTGCCCCTTGACAGAAATGACATTAAATATCATGACTGAGGTTAAAAAAAGAAATAGAAAAGAGTTGCTGCTGGTGTTAAGTATTTCTCTGTACTACACAATCTACAAGAGGGTGAGAGGAAAACAAAGATAAATGGAGAAATGAGCCTGGGAAGTAAGAGTAGGATATCAAAAACATGACACTGATTTCAAAAAGGAGCTTCTGCTATTAAAGGTGACCTTGTAAAACAACTGTGGTACTCGGAGTTTCTTTTTCCTAATGGTTTCAGATCAAACCTACCCCATTCACAAGTAAAATCACGCCCCATTCACAAGTAAAATCACGTTCTCTTCCCCTAAGTGCTGCTCCGAAAATAACTTGGATTCAGGATGTCAAATAGGATTTTCCTTATTGCTGACAAAATAGATTAATTGGGGATTTTAAAAGCAGCCTAATTCTTGTTGATAGACAATGGCACTTGTCTACTTAACTCCCTTAGGCTTCTTTAGACGTTTCAGCTCAAAACTTCTACAATTACCTGACGGTTTGGGGCAGTTAGTCATAGGTAGATTAAAGATCTGCATTTCAGGAACTGCTGAACGTCCACATTCTCAGCAGCTAAAATCCTCGGCAGAGGCTCCACATTTGGTCATTTTTTTGACTTTCCCACTGTCAAACAAGACCAGGGTCCTGCTGCAATAGCGCATTGCTGCAGTTAAGGGAAAAACAACCCAGCCCATAAAAGCTGACTTTCACTGAGGGCCTGACTCTCCTCTTCAGGATGTGAAACTGCTTGTAGGGTAAAGGGGAATGAGAGCAGAATGTACCTCTAACCTAGACTCCAGATTGTCAGCACAAATCTCCCGGGGAAGAAATTACAAGCTGCTAAGGGGAGGGAGAACAAGCACAGACCGAATAAACTATTCAAAGGTTTATTGGACCAAACAAAGGCAATTTTTACAGATTCAAGCCACTAGAATTACAGTCCTTTGTATAAGAGCCACCATCAGATACAAAACAAACAAAACAAACAAAAGTAAAAAATACCCAGACAGCCATTTGGGTTGAAGAAATAGTTTGACTCGCTGCCACTAGCAGAAAATCCGGACTCAGCTATAGGCTTTGCTTGATGTACATATTGCCATGTAACTTAAACGCAATGTATATAAGGCATTCTTTGCATAGTTGGGTGCTTGGGACACAGAGTCAGCCACCAAGAAGAGACTGAGCGGCTGAACCAGTGAGGAAGATGAAGCAGAGGGTCCTGATGTGTCTAAATTCATCTGCAAACCACTGCACGGGCTAGCGGCTGTTGGCCGGGACAGCCCAGCCTCTCCTAAAGCTGAAGCCTCCTGCTGTTCTTTAGATGAGCCCTTTTTGTCACTAGTTAGCCAAGCTCAGGGGCTGGAAGGGACAACCAAGTGCAAGGTTTCAAGTATTGTCTGCATAGGAATTAAGAAGGAAAAAAAAAGTGTGGGGGGAAAAAGCAGCCCGCTGGGTTTCTGATATGTTTGAAGCTTTAGCCAAGAGGCAGTTGTCCTGCAGGGAGAGCAAGAAGCTCTGAGGGACACATCTCCACCCAGCCTGGGGTTGCTACAGTAGCGCTAAGAGGACCTCGACTCCTCTTGCCATGGGGATCCATCCTGCAGAGCAGCTGGCCCGGTCTGAAACCTGCTCTCCCTGAAGCAGGGCTGTGCCCAGCCACAGTCATCTCCCGATGCGACGGAGTTGAGGAGAGTCGCTGAGCTCTGCCTCCAGCGGACTAACCACAGGGCTAGCAAAAGAAGAGGGCTGTGGAGCAGCAAGGAGCACAGGAAGGGCTAGGGTGTCTCTTCCAGGACCCCCCCAGTCTCATCCTGAGCCACAGGGAGCCCGCGATACTGTTGCTACCTCCTCAGGTTTCTCCCACTGGGAGATGGACCATGGAAAAGTATGAATCCAGATATGAACAGTGGCCAAAATGCGGTCTCCAAAACCTCCACCACAGGCAGAACAGCTAAACTATCAGCCTCATCCACTTCTGAAGTCTTCCCTCTACCTAAAGGATCATTTATCTGCTAAAACAGCTACAGAAGCAAGGTTAGAGTCATTCCAGCTGCTATCTGCCCCCTCACGTTGATCCCACTTTGTCGCTCCACCCCTCAGAATACAACAGCGCCAGACAACGTTTGAAATCGTAGGCAGTTCCCACCCAACAATAAAGAGGAGTTTGGCCCTGGGAAGAAATGGGTTGATCATTTGGTATAAGGTTCAGGTAGGTCTGAGAGAACAGCCGTGATCACCCACCCTGCTAAAGAAACACAGATTTTGCAGCAGGGCTGTACATGGTGATGGATACAACTAATAGACTTGCTGCATATTTGGGTGTCAAATTTGGGCTCTGCTTGGGGGAAGGAGAAGGTTTGTCTCCAGTCCCCCCCCAAACACAACTCAAGTCACTGCTTGGAACCAGCCCCAGTCCGTGGAGGCACAACAGGATCTCCTCGAACTCGATACCACAGGAGTTTTGCAGAACTCAACTTCAGACCAAGAGGGGGGGTCCCAAGTTTTGAGGGTTTATGGATTTCTCTTATGGGTGTGTTTGGTTGGTTTTGGTATTTCTCTCAAGCCTTTAAAGATGCCAAGGGATGCCTTTAGGAGGAGGCTAGGGACAACTTCATATAGTCTTCAGTTCTGCAAAGAGAAACAGGGAGAGAAGAAGAAAAATCATTTCAGTCATTTCACCCCTCAGGTTTGGTTCATTATTATTCACATAAATGAGCAGAGGAAAACTCATTGTGAGAGGGGAAGACAAGGCAGCTTCCCACATCGGGGCAGAACAAGCCACCGTTTGCCAACCTCATGCCTCTGAGGAGA